CTGTCTGCCGGAAATGTTTGAAAACTTCGAACGCTTCAAATTCGGCTGTCGACAAAATGGGGAGCGGGTGGAGGATGTCTCACTACCACCGTGGAGTCAGCGGGACTCCCGGCTATTCGTCCTAATCCACCGCCAGGCTTTGGAATCGGAGCTGGTACGCAATCAGATTCATAACTGGATAGACCTGATTTTCGGCTACAAACAGAGCGGGGAGAGCGCCGTGGAGGCCATCAATGTGTTTCACCCAGCAGTGAGTGTTGATTTCCTGTGCAATGATTATAGATGCTTATCTTCTTCTGATTTTATCCACAGACTTACGCCGTTTTTCTGGACTCCGAGATCAGCGATCCCATCGAAAGGGAAGCAGTCAAGACAATGGTAAAGACATATGGCCAGATGCCCAGGCAGCTTTTTAAGTCTCCGCATCCGGCGTCCAAGCCGCTGGACTACTCACTGGTGGACAAACCCATAGTTTCTACCGTACGAGGTCTACGCTGGGGCGTCTATGTTGGCTCGCCGCAGCTGAAAGCTCCTTCATGGGCCAATATCCACAAGATACCCGGCACCGAGCACCTGGTAAGCTTCTGCAACACCAACGTGGTGTATGCTCTTCCTGGAAGAGCAAGTGTGATGCAGGGAGCTGAGCCGGATACGTACAACGTGATCTCCTGGGGCTACGATGATCGCATTGTGAGGATCCAGCCACTCAACAAGCCACAGGCCAAGCCAAAGAACCTCCTACACAATGGAACGTTTGACGACATCACCGCCTGTGGGTGCGATGTGAACTCGAATCAACTTTGGTTTGGCCATAAATCTGGAAGGATTAGTGTCTACAAGTGCACCGGAGGACTAGATTCCCAACAGCGAGCCTCGGCGAAGAGCAGACAGAGCTATGCCCGCGGATTCAGCCTGTCGTACAACTCAGCTTTCCGGAAGATGACTAGCAAGGGAATCGGAGTAGGTGGATCGGAGAGGTCAGATGAAGGCGGCAGCCTGCATCCAACCAGTTCTGCCTCCTCAGTAAACTCGTCCAGCACTTCTTCCGGCGCGGATGCTTTCCAGCGGGACGGTGCCGATCTCAACTGGCTGGGACCCATGTTGCTGGTGCGGCACACCGACGAGATTACATGTATTACCCTCTCCGTGGAGTTTAAGATCGCGGTGACTGCGGGTCGCGATGGCATTGCCGTCATATGGGATCTCAATGAGTAAGTCCACACGTGAATCTTCTGTTAAGGAAAGTATTCATTTGATTTTCCCTCAGCTGGAGCTATGTGCGCACGATTGCCCGCCCGGCAGAGATTCATCAGTCTCCCATAACGCATGTGGCAATTAGTCCTACGCTGGGAGACATTGTCACGGTACACACATTGCCCCAATCCTCCACCACCAGCACGGATCCAAAGCCCACAGCAGCTGCCATCAGGCCCAATTCGCTCAACGTGGCCGACGAATGTTTTGAGGTAACGGAGGAGAACCTGGACGACTTCGTCAATGTGAATGTGAATCCCAATGGCAAATCCATTTTGAGGCTGCACTCAGTGAACGCGCGGTACGTGCAGCACCTGGTGCACGAGGATCGCATCCTGGCCGTGTGCTACTCCTACATCAAAGAAGGAGTGGGTGTCAACGTGATAGCCACCGCCGTGGAGGGAGGATTCGTGCGCTTCTGGTCTAGCTGGAACCTGAGCTTCGTCAGTGAGCTGACCACGGGCACATCGCCCATTCGTAGGTAGGAGAGAGGTGGCTGCATATTCGAATAAAATCAAATCTAATCACTGCCTTCATTCCAGCATCTGCTACTCAACCCATCAGCATTTGGTGGTGCTAACGCGAGAGTCTCACATTCAAGTTTGGGAATCAGAGGGTCTCTATGGGAATGCCCCAAAGTTCCCCCAAATCGTCTACAAATAAGGTTAATGGGAATGCGATCGGTTCGAACACACAACATACTCAATAACTCAACTCAAAGCATATCAATGACAGACACATAAACAATCTAAAAAGCAGATGAATCAAAGAATGAATCCTTCTAAAAGATATAAAAATACAACATTCACTGGCGACTGCCGAAAAATGAATATATCACAAGATTCCTAGGCTTAGGTCTCATAGAGCTGTAAAATACACCTTTTGTACCAAAACTTTATATTATTACTACATTTTCGTCTTTGTTTTTCCCGTGCTGCATAAGAATGCCACGCTGCCTTCAATTGTTGATATTATCAAATAAACCATCATATTTTGCAAAAACTAAACTATTTACTTTTAGAATTCCATAGAAAAATATACAACTACAATGTCCATCGTAGCATCCGTTTAAGGAGGGATTCATGCTTATTAAACTACAGGTATCTCTAGATACAATATTACTTATCGTGAGCTTCTCTCGTTGTCAGCACTTCCAGGGTGGAAGCTTACTGTTGCCACTTCCGCTCTTTGGTTTGGTTTGCTTGCTACCCTGTTTAACCGTCATGGCTAGGATTTCGTCTAGTCTGTCGAAGTCACTGGGCGACTTGCTGAGCAGCAGTTCAATGTAGGCCTGCAGCTTGTCCATCGGCGAGGGTGGATCCCGTTTGCCCACCACATCCAGGTTATTCTTTTCAGTGCTGTTGCTGCGCTGCGATTTGCTGGTTTTTGGCGTTTCTGGATACATGCGTGCATTGTTCAGCTCCGGGGATTCCCCTTCAGTGTCACTGGCTTGCATGAGAGAGTTCTGACTAGGAGTGGTGAGTATAGCAAGGGCCTGCTGCCATTGGGCCTCCATTACTCCGTGCAGCTTCTCCGCAATATCAGCACTGGAATGGCAAACACTTGTATTTTACCAGAAAACATATAGAGCTTTCACATCTTACCGCTTAGTTTTGTAACAGCTGAGCTTGAGATCCATTTCATCGATCTTTTTCGAGGCATTCGCCAGTTGGAGGCGGTACAGCTCCACCTCCTCGTTGTGCTTTTCCTGGATGAGATTCAGTTCCTGGTTGTTTTTCTCGTTGATCATTTCAAGCTGTTTTACGGCCCGCTCGGCTATTAGACGTTCACGCTCACGAGCTTCGTTCTTCAAATGCTCCTCATTCTTGTCCAGCTGGTCTTGGAATTCCTGCATCTTCTTGGCCACGACATTTTCCATTTGCTGTTGGTAGTATTGCTTGAGGGATTTCTGCTGTATATCTAGCTTTTTCTTGAGATTGGTCTGCAAACGGCAATAATTTATTATTGGATTTATTTTTGGGAGTTATAAAAATAACCTCAGTTTCTGTTAGGTTGGCCAGAGTTTCTTGTAGGGATTTACGCTGGCTCTCCAAGGAATCCGCTCTTGCTTTCTGCTTCTGATGATATTCCTGCAGCATTTCCTTTTGGTTAGTGAGCGTGTTCTTGTCCTTTTCCAGTTCCTCAATCCGCGCTTTTAGCTAATATATAAGAAAATGTGTTTAAAAATGGTCAGAATTTGTATAATTTCTTTGAAATTACCTTTTCTTGTTGGTAGTCCACCTTGGCAAACTTATCCCTTAGCTTATTAAGCTCGGCATGGGACAGCTCCTCCGCTCTTTTGCTGCTGTTGAGTTGCATTTCCAGTTGCTCCAGTTTTTCTTCCCATTGATTGGCATCGTGCCTGCAATGGTCCAACTCTTTTTCGAGTTTATCATTCTTTTCCTGGAACTTGGTGGCCAAGTTGACCGCCTGCGACAACTCGTTCTGCAGTGCATCAAACTTGCTCTGAGACTGGCCCCTGTCCGCTTCCAGCCGGTGGACAGCGTCCCGCAGGTGCTGAACCTCGTAGTTGAGACTTTGAAGAGTTTGTTCTGCCTCGGTAAGAGCAACATCCTTGGAACGATCCACCTCGATAGCCACCGAGATACGCTGCTGGTACTCCAGAAGCTGCGACTGCAGTGCGTGGACAGTTTTCTCAAGATGTTGCCTTCTTAGTTGTTCCTCTTTCAGCGAAGAGCTGCACAATAATCGGTTGGGAGAGTTGTTGTCGAGTACAGTTTTGGACAAGCTACTCTTGCCCCAGAGCTCACTTAGGCTAATGATCTTGTTCTCGTTCAAGCTGTTTCGATCGACCCTGGCTGCTTCCACAGAAACAGCGCCGGAGGAGGACGAAGCTAGTTTCATGCTGGGCAGGGACGAGGTGCCCGGATGACCCTCCTGCCCCACCCGCTCGTTCCTAAGATGATCATCGCTGCGGTGGTGCAGGTGTTGATCGTGCCTCTGCCAGCGATGCGCGCTATTGTCGTCTAGGTAGTGGTCAATTTCGAGAAGGAAGTTATCGTCTGCAGGTCGATGGCGCAGGGGCTCAACGGACCCACTCTTCGGCGTGGAGTGCACCATGCCATGGAGCTCTCTGTTTGGCCGTCCAGCGTTCCTTACAGTATTCGTGGAAATGGTAGAAATGTCCGAGGGAGGTCCCTCCGCATCCAGTGCGATGTTCTGGAGCCGGGCATTAATGCTATTCAGCTCCGATTTCTTGCTGGGATGCAGGAACTGGTACGCCGAACTTGTGGACGCCGGAAGCGGGGGCGGGGGCATGGCCAGTGCATCTGCCGCCGCGCCTGCGCTCATTTTGTCCTCCGCGCAGAAGTTCGGTTGTATCAGGAGCAGCAGATCGGTGTCGTCCGTATCGGTATCACTCATGCCTCATGGTTAAGTATATTAAAACTATGCTTATATTATAAAAATTGCTGTTCAAAACTAGTGGACAAGCCACCGATTGTCATGGTGATGAATAGGGCTGCCATCTGCTTGTGATAATGCGGATTATCGTAAACAATTGTCTATCGGAATATCGTTAAAACAATATATTCAAAGTCAGTTTGTCAAAACACCACCTCTTACCTATTACAAAATATATCAGAAAGAATCGATATTAAAGTAGCACAAGGCCTTTAGTAATTTTATTAACAATAAATTGTGTACCCTATCCTCACGAGTTGGCAGCTCTGTTCGAACTAATGCTACCATATAGCCTATCGACTGTGTTTGGCGCCCGTTGCAAGTGTGACCGTCCGTTGCGTTTGTTGTTTCCAACTATTGTATTGTTTTTTATTCGTCCTTCAGTGATCAAGGAATTCCCGCCAGGATGGCAGATGTAAGCCTGTTTTTTGGAGATCTGCCGGCCGTTCTTCTGGAGCCTGATATAATATACCGCATTGGAAGGAAGAAGGGCCTGGAAATCAGCATCGCCGACGAGGTAAATTTGCCTTTACTTCTACTATGTACATTCCAGCACTAATAACATTTTCTTAATGGACGACAGTCAATGGAGTTGGCACACGCCACCGCCTGCATCCTGCGCCGAGGGGTGGTGCGCCTGGCCGCCCTGGTGGGCAGGATCTTCGTGAACGACCAGGAGAAGACCGTGGTGGACATTGCCAGGGAGGACACCTTAGCCGGCAAGGTGAAACTCCGCTTTGGCAATGTGGAGGCCAGGCTGGAGATTGAATGTGATCACGATGAGGTAGGAGCACTTGCCATTCTAACAGGATCCATATCCAAATGCCTACCTTTTGCTTCAGGTCCACGATAGTAGTGGATTCGGGGAATGCCTGAAGAACAGATCAACCAACACGACGTTGGACAGCATGGATATTCCCGAAACACAGCCTCCATCCGCCAACACGTCAGTCAACACAACGGCAGATAGCTTCTTCATACCCGAGACCCAGGCGGTGGTCTTCAACAGACCTTCGACCGGTGAAAGAGTGTCGCTGGGCGATGACTTCATGATACCCGAAACGCAGGATATGCTTGCGTATCTTCCTCCTGAAAAACCCCTGATTAAACCCTCGGTTATTCCGGTGGTTAATAACCGGGATCCGACGGTGGAAAGCGATGGGGAATCATCCGAGGGCAGCGTGATACGCATGTGCACCCAGGATTATAATGAGGATGCCATTGATGACTTCGATACCTCACAGGTACTCTGCGATGTTTTTGCGCAGCCACCAAAGCCAATGGAAACTATTGATAAGAAGGATGATAAGCGTGGTATGGCCATCCATTGAGTCTGATGACTTTCAATAATGTGTGCTTTCTACTTAGATCAACTGGACACCACCGACATTGAAATAAGTGCCTTAAACTGGTCAGCTAACAATTCCAAATGCAGTGCCCTGAGTAGCACCAAAGCGGATGAAATATTGCCGCGTGGCGATGGCTGCATTACACCTGATTTGACCGCTCCGTCTGTGGCTAGAAGCATTTGCACCCCCGATCTGATTGAGCTAATCATGGGGAGGGAAGCGCGCGATGGCTCCAGCAGTCCAGATTTCTTCGTTCGTCCTGCGGACAAAACGAATACCGCCACACCGCAGTTTAACGGCGTTAAACAGCTGGTTGTGGCGACAATTGAGACTCCTACTGCCACACCGGACACAGACAAATCATCTAGTCAGGAAATTAATCAAGATATGATAGCCACTCAACGATTTCCACGGCATAAATTGTTGGAAAGTGACGAGGAAGACAATGAGCAAAATAACCAAGACTTCGTGGCGACTCAGGCGTTTAACTTGGGACGTCCGCAGCCTCAAGAAGATAAGGAAACTAATCAAGATTTCATAGCGACACAGGCGTTCAACTTGGGACGGCCACAACAAATTGATTCACTTAAACCCTCGACAGCTAACGATTCTTCCAACCAAGATTTCATAGCAACTCAGGCATTTAACTTAGGACGCCCACAAGCAAACAATTCTGTTGGTCCACCAGGAGATACTGAGACTTCCAACCAAGATTTCATAGCTACTCAAGCATTTCCTGCCCACATCAATAGCTCTCGGTGCCAAGACTTCATAGCCACGCAACCTTTTCCTGTGGTCAATCAGCATTCCGTAAGTTTACGAGACAAGGAGAATATTCCACTCGACGACAGTGCCAAAGTTGTAACAGGTAAGCATATCAAAGCAGTTCCGTGTTATGGATTTGGGAACTAAAACCCTTTCCAGTTTCGAAAATCTTTGAAGAGCCTTGCGATGAGATAGATGCTGTGCTCAATGAAATGATTTCAGGGACTGTGGTAACGTCGCCTGTAAATCCCAATGAAGAGTCGATAAAATTTTTTGAGCCGTGTGTGATCAAGGATAAGAATCACTATCAAAAGGTAACTTAATCGTAAACTCCAAGCTCAGTTAGCAATGTGGAATATTTCCTTACAGATTTGTCAGATTGAGGGAGTATTTAGTAACTTGAGTAACAAAAGTCGTTGGCGCACAAGAGCAACTGACGATGTCAGTCGCAAACGAGTGGCGAAATCGGAATCTCCTCCAGCAACACGTAAGCCACTCGCAATAGAATCATTCTTCACCGATCTGAAATCTATTTAATTCACAGCAAGTCGTAAAAACAGACGAATTTCAGAGGGTTCTGAGAGACCAAAAAGTAATTTGATAAAACGGCGAGACAATCCAGTCGATAAAAAATCAGAACGTAAGTTATTTTATAATTGAGGAAACCGTATTTACAATCCAATTTGTAGCTCTTAACAAGTCAGTTATTCGGGAACAAGATATCGATTCTATTCTGGAAGAGGAAACACAGGAAGATAAAGCAGACGATCCTATTAAAGAAGTTGTCAATCAATTGCAATCCCGTAGAAGCCGAATCCAAAGCCGTCCTGGGACTCCGGGAAGCTCTTTAGAAAAGAATGAAGCCAACGCTGAGTTGGCGGATAAGTCTAAGGAAGAGCCGCCTACCAAAAATAAACCTAGTAGAAAGGTCAAGAAGGCGGAGACAAATAAGGCAGACGCATCCGGGGATATTCCCAAGCCTACTACGAGAACAAGGCGCCAAACCAGCGACGAAGATGCTCGAGCGCCTGATCTAGCAAAGGGAAGAAAGCTCAAGAAGGCTGCGTCGAGTAGGGCAGACACATCTAAGAATATTTCAAAGGGTTTGACGAATAGCGCTGATGATGCCGAGGTGCCTAAAGAAGAAAGTTCAGTCCAGACTGTAAGTGAGAGAAAGGTTAAAAAGGTCAAGTCAAGTAAAGAGGAAACATCAAAAGATATTTCCAAGCCAAGACCTAGAACCAGGCGCCAAACTGCCGACGAAGATGCTACGGCACCTGGAGCAGAAAAAGAAAAACAGGTTCAGGGGAACATAGCTAAGGAATTGCCCAAGCCAGCAGCCAAAACCAGGCGCAAAGCTAGCGTAGAAGAGGCTGAGAGCTCTGAAGAGACCGTCAAACCGAAAAGAGGATACAAACGCAAGAAATCCGAGTCCAACCAAGCTGCCGCACCTGTGGAAAAGTCTACGACTAGAACCAGGCGCAAGACAATCGTCGAAGATTCCGACACCCTGGCGGAAGTAAAACCAGAGGGCGCAATATTTAAACGTGCGGTTGTCCGCATATCCAAAATAAGCATTGAAAACCCAGAGTCTTCCACAAGCTCTGCAAATAACGCCAGAATAACCCGATCTGCCAAGTCGCGCTCTGCAACGCCCTCAATTGAAGAGCCATCATCCAGCTCTGCTGCTGCCAAGGGGCCAAATGTGTCAGGAACTACACGCACAGCCAGGTCAGCTCGGGCTGCCACGTCGGGTACCGCAACCCCTAAAGCCGATCAGTTACCAACCAGCTTCGGAACTAGCAGGGGACTCAAGCGGTTAGCGGCCCCCGAAGAGGCCACTTCCAAGAAGCCTAAAATGTCTACTGATGGGGAAGTCCTAAAGAGCAGATCAGGCGCTAGTAAGTTTAATACTTATTGCTGATGAGTATTTGAGTATTTCATTGGCGCAACTATCTCTCATTGCAGCTACAACGCGATTTAGTCAGACGGATAGCGATCCGATTAGAGGTAAGTATTCCGCTTTAAGGTGTACACTCAATTTGCCTCCTTCTTCCTTCTAGCAATTAACTTATATGTGAGGAAGGCCAAGACTGCAGGCAAAATTAAGATAGCGTTTACCATGTGCAATCGTCCAGCTTTGGAATCTGTGCTAAAGTCACTGAAGCGTAAGAAACCGCATGCCGCAAAGCGAATTGAATTCTAATTTCACTTCTCTGCCTTCTAGACGTGGTGGAGATCACCGAAGATCCCTTGAAGTGCGACCTGCTTATGATGGACAAGGGCGAGCGCACCTACAAGTTTCTGACAGTCATTGCTTCCAACAAACCAGTCTTGTCCACCAATTGGCTGCACTCTGTAAAGAAGACCAGAAGCATCGACATAAAGGCAGAGCATCTGTTCAGCGACGCTACATTTGAGGAGACCTACAAGTTCAAACCCTCCAGCGTACTGGAACACCCACGTTTGTTGTATGGCTTGCACTTTATGCTCGGTGAAGACATCGTGCCAAAGGCAACCGAAATGAAAGGCAAGTCTTCCTGAAAACGTATGCCAACTATTAGCTAATAGGTAATCTCCCACAGTCATTATTCAAAGCGCCGGCGGTAAGGTGCACGTGCAACCGCCTTCGCTGGCCATCAGTGTGGATCTGTACGTGGTCACCACGAGCAAGGATACGAAGTCTAAGCGACGTCTGAACAACTATGAAAAGGTACACTTTATCAAAGCCGAGGCTGTTATGCAGGCGCTCGTTCAACACAAGATTGAAATGCTGCAGGAGTACAAGCTCAAACTTTAAACGTTGTTTTTGGATATTTCATATTTTTTTAAGTGCTTTTGCGCTTATATTGTTATCGTTTGTCAGCCATTATGTCATTTAGCTCGCGATTAACTACAAGGAAGTACATCACACTGCGGAGTCCCAGACGAAATCTCTTTCACAGTTTACACATAAACTTTTTGTATTATATATAATTGTTTGTTTTTTGGAACCATCATAATTGTGGCCATACAATATTTAGTTGTTACTTTCCTACTGCCTGTCAAATACATCATACGTCTAACACTACTCCATCTTTTTCCGCTTCGAACCGGTGGGTTTGTCAAACTGCTGCCTCATGCCGCCGGCGCGTTCGTTGTGGAACTTGATGTTGCTGGATGACTCGGCGTACCAGGGCGAGTCGAACTTGGTTGTGTCCTGGTCCACTAAATGCGTGTACTTGGTGCGGCCACAGCGGCCGAAGTTCTTCACCTGCATCACCTTGGGCAGGATGGTCTTGTCGAAGTGATCCTCCAGCGTGGCCTGGGCGAAGTCGCGCTTAAGGACATCGTTCTCCTCATCCAGGTAGAAGGCACCACGATGATAGTACTTCTGCAGGAACTTGTACTTGCCCTTGGTAGCCTTGTTGGTGACCACCTTCGGGTTCTGGCGCAGCTCCTGGCGTCTCTCCTCTTCGGTCATGTTGCGCATGCGATCAATGTCCACCTTTTCGCGTTCGACGCTGAAAGAAAAGGGGAAAGGAAGGTTAAAAAGTGGCTGTCAAAGCGATTAAAAATGCACCTACTTATCACGCTCCTCGCGATCCCGCTTCATTCTCTTCAGCTCACGCAGCTTCCAGGCCTCGTACTCCACCTCGTCGTTCTCGTCATCCGTGCACACGTCCTCGATGCTGGCCTCATTGGTCTCCGGCTTGGTCTTCTCCAGATCTTTTTTGACGCTCTCCTCGACCATTCGCAGGGTGGCTCTTCTTCGCTCCTTGGCTGCCCGCTTGGCCTCCGCCTCCAGCTGCTTCTGCTTCTGAGCCTCTCGCTCCTTCTCCTGGATGGTGGCACGATCTCTCTTTCGGACGAAGAGCGGTTTCAGGCGGGGTTCGTTGTCCTCCTCGCTTTCGGTCTCCTCCTCGTACTCGGAGCTTTCTGATTCGGAGGACTCCGACTGTTTCTCATCTTCTTTCTGAAGCACCTCCTCCTCGCGCTGTTGCTGCAGCATCCGGGATCTCAGTTTCGTGCGTCGGTTCTCCAACTCTGCGTCGCTGAGCTCGGCATCCGTGTCGGATTCGGAGGCCAGTGTGATCTTGTTGGTGCCCCGCTGAATCGCTCCCTGGGCTTCCTCGTCTTCCTCCTCGTCCTCGCTGTCGCTCTCCATGATTTCCGGTTCGTGTATGTGTCGATGGCGCTCCCTCCGCTCACGTTCCATGTCCTCCATGTCCACGGGTCTTTGTCGCAATCTTCGGAGGCGGGGATCGTCCACCTCGGCAGCGTCCTCCTCCTGGCCCTCACCAGCAGCCCGCTCCTCACCCTCCGCGCTGCCTCCTCGACGGGAGAGCTCCAGCTTATGCCGTTCCGCCTTGTGGCGCTCCAGGCGCTTCCTGGTGTCAATGAAGTCATCGTCGTCGCTCTCCTCCGAACTGGAGTCCGCACGGGCGTAGTCGGGTCGCTTTCCGGATATGTACCGCTGCACCTTCACCTTTTGCATGGACAATTCACCTATTGAAAAGATACAAAGTTTATAAACAATTTCTGGCGGGGATCGAGCTATGCTGTTTACCTTTCTCATTGCGCATAGGAATGGCGCCCGCTGTGCTCTGGATTCCAGAAGCGGCGGCGGCGGCTGCACTCATCCTTGTTTTCGCTTATAATCAACGGCTAAAAAGCAAATTTTTAATGTAAATATTCCTTTGATAAAAGTATTGGAAATTAGAGGTGAGCAATAATCGATTCTTTTCTTTGAAATATTATCGATGCACTACGATTTTTGAAAATAGTTCTGGCAGCTCAGCGAAACCACAGTGGCAACGCCATTGAACTAGGCGCGCAATTTGAAACTTTAAAGAAAACGTAAAATGGTATACTAGATTCGTTTGAAAAGTATTTAACATATGATAAATATTAAATTGCAATGACGGAAGTGCGATGACTTCGCAAACCCAAAATTAAGGCCAGCAACTAATTGAGACATTCGTTAATTGAATATAAATACACAGAAAGAAATTTAAGTTGTTATAAAGAAACAAAATATTGGGAAAAATCAAGGAGAGTTTGGAATACGTTTTGATATTAGCATACCTGTTTTGCAAGGAATTTATAAATAGATGTTAGGTTTCTGAGTGAAAGGAAAAATATATTTTTCAGCTTTGTAATTAGTAACAAGTGTTTTAGCAATGTCAACGCCCACTCTCATTAGTAAATTAATTGACTACTACGCTTTCTCCAATTCCGATCCGATGAATCGATGGAGGAGGGGCGCTTGATCTTGTGTAATGCCGGAATTGAATCCGAAATTCTGTTTATTGATATTGCGTATTTTCAGTTTCGACACCACGCAGCCAGCACGTGTGCAGATTGTCTTGTAATGTTTGGAAAACATTCTGATATGATGTGATGTGATACCCAACCAACCGGACCAAAGTCCGAAAGAACAACTTGACGGACGAGGGGCTCGACCAGTTTTGTGACGTCTCCGGCCACTTGCATCCGAGGAACAGAGTTAGCTGGATTTGTTGTGGATGTGGATGTGGAATGGGATGGGATGGGATGGAATGGGATCGTTTCGGGCCTAGACACCGAGACGCATTTGCCGAACTGCTTTTAACTGCTTTTCGTCGGCTAAGCTAGTTGAATGGCCAAGATTTACATGAGACTGTTAGTTAACGACATGTCGGGCATATTTAATTAATGCAACACGCTTCATGCTTAAGTGCATATCTGCCTAGATAACTCACCGACCTTTAGAAAAGTAGGCGTCGATTTGGAGACTTTCCGCTCGAGGGGAAGCACCCGTTGCATATTTGGATATTTGGATGTGCCATCTCAGTGCTTTGGATCCCTTTCCTTTTAACACTGTTTTAATTTATTGTGATTGGATCGCTTTTTGAACTGACCGGCGCCGTTTTGAGTTCAAATTTAAACTCAAATTGCGAATACATTTCAATTAGAATTCAACTCCCACACTGGCGCACAGGAATTGTAAACAAATAAGTTTCTATTAGCGGGAGAAAGAGTGTCATGCCTGATCAAAATCGTACCAGATCGAACTCGTTATCGTTATCCAAGTAAAACATAACATGGCCAGCAATTGAGGCGAGGCGACAAATGTACAAAAACGAAAGATATAATCGCTTCCATTATTAATTGGCGCACTTTTTGCCTTTGTGACTCGGGCTCGAGTTACTTAAAAAGTAATAAAGGGTGAGCCGAATGGAAATATTTACACATCACGCAAGCGAAACTGGCCAAGAACCAGCAATTAAACTTTTCTGTTTGTTTACAGCGCATTTCACTTGGCTCTACTTGTCAGCCCGCCAATTAACCATCGCGATCGAGGGATATGCAAAGGAGTTGGAAATTACCGGATATTTTCTGGGAGCGAGTTCTGTAGAATTAAGATGAATCGTCGCTTATGAATCAGAGCGCTGCAATTTTCTGAAATTAATTGGCATCAATTTATGTGACGGTTTGGCAAACATTTATGCGCGATTTTGCACCCGAAGTATTTTCTCAAACATTTTCTACTCAGTACCCACACTTTTCTATAACTTTCTACTAACCTTTTAGTTGAAAGTATTATACTATTTCATAAATTAATTTATTAATTTATAATTTATCTTTTTAAAAAGCAGTTTAGTAGCATAATCTTAAATTGCTCAGTCTAGGCCCAGACTAAAATAAGTTGCCTATATCTGAGCACTCCACACGACCACTGGCCACCGATCGAGTTTCCCCTCTTCGTGGAGATCGGCGTTATCATATCCGGCGACGCTTCGCCTGCTCTTAGTTCGATTTTCTCTCTTTCTGCGCTTTCCAAGACCCCGAAGAGATCTCGATTGGTGGGGTTCCCGAAGCAGAAGCTGAAGCTGAAACTGGGAGCCCGAGATCTGAGATCCGAGATCCGAGATCTGTGATTTGCCTGCGCCGCCTTGGGTGTTGTATAAAATAGCGTAACGGCCGCTTGCAAAACTCATTCATTTAAAAATTGTCAATACGTTCGAACAGCTCGGTCGTCGAGCTGGAAAACCAGGAAACAACTAGTGCTCAAAGTGAAGAATAATTCGGAAAGGACTCGGCTCGAGGGACCAAGCGAATCAGTGATATTAGTTTGTTTTGTGACTAAATAGAAAACACGTTAATGAAATACAGAAACAATCGTGGCACCATATTGCAAATCCAGTTCAGAACATTTCTAAGATACAGTGCAGCAAATTTAATTCCATTTGAGAGCTAAACGGATACGACAACCGAAGGATATCGAACTTGACGAATTGGAAAATTACTAACTGAGGTGAGAAGTAAATCAGTTTTTCAGTGAAAGCAAGTGAGTGAGTTATTTTGAAGTTTTTCGTACTGGTTGTCATTGATAAGTGCAAGCACCCAAGACAGTTTAATTGATAGTTGGCAAATATCTCAGCCCAGAACGCTAAAAAGTTTTAGCTAAAATAAATTTATTTCAATTGCTCATGAATAACTAGAAAAAAAGTTGTGAGGGCAAAAACAAATTGTAGAATGCATTTGTCGAACAAGCTAATAAAGCTGAAAGTAAGTAAGGTATTTATTTACATTCCCAAAAGCATTTAAATATTGGCGTTTGTTACTTCACTCTGTTTTTGTGCGAGCTAATCGCATTTGAAGTAGGCAATGTTTGCAGCTGTCGTGGCTGTGGAAAATCGCTCTGATTGCGATTGGTATCTTCTGCCAACAGTCTGCAGCACAGATCTTGTCAAGCGGTTTATTTTGTTTAAATTAATTATAATAAAATAGAAGCGAGTTCCCCCACACGAGTTAAAAAGGCTAGAAAAGCAAAACAACACGCGCATATTAATTGGGTACGAAGACTGGATGATGATGCCATTTAATGGAAGCAAAGGGCTTTTGGAATGGGCTGGGGAAAAGTCCACCAATTAAGCCAGACGCCTGTTCTCAACCAGAACCCACAATTCATATGAGCACCGAGAAAAACGGGTTTCCCCAAAAGTATAACAAATAACAAACCAATAAACAACCAATATAGTTTCATAGTTTTACATAAATTATAAGCTTGTATATCTGAACAAAAAATATAAAATATTACTCTTAGTGTACATAAATTATAAGCTTGTAAATCTGAACAAAATATATAATAATACTCCTATTTAACAGTACTTTATTTGAAATAAGCTGGTTGGCAATAGCTTTATTTAGCTATAATTACACGAGGAAATACTCACTGGTATTTTCTCTCTGTGCAGCTGGCCATCTTGACCACCGCTCTCTTCTGGTCGGGCCTTTTGCTCTTAGTTTCCGGCCTTGCCTTCGGAGACTTGGATGCTGCTCTTCGAAGATTCGCCGAGCGATGGCGAATTTCTGGCCAAAACCGGCGCAATCCGGCTCAGTCCAATGGCCACCGATCTAAACCAGTTGAATTCGCTTAAATCTCGATTGGTGCGCTCACACTGCCCATTTTCGCTGAAACATTGTAGCCCTATCTATTCGCCATTCAGGCCATATGAGTGCTCATGTCCATGGGGCACAGGAGCAGCTTTTCTCAAATGGTTTGATTGGCCGGAAAAGTGGGAGGAGGCAGAAGAGGCGGGCGGCGGTGGGAGGAGGTGGAGGAGGAGGCGCCAGGGCTTCTGGTCTCATCAAGAATAATTGCCGAGTGTTTGGGATCAATTGAATGGGAAGTGATTGCCATCGTTGATCAGTTGCAGAATGTTTGTTTTATGATTTAACAATTAAGAGGGGACAGAGTAATAGACATGTGTAATAAATTCAAGTTACTCAAAGATAAGGCTTGTGTAATGCATTCAAATACTTGACAATTTAAACGACAAGTAATTGCATAAATCAGCAAGGAAATGGAAATATACAACGGTGTTACAGAACTAATAAACTGATGAAATATGCAAACATTAAGGGCATCCTAGAATGGGCGTGGAATAACACCAAATATCTTACCAAATTCCTTACCGCTTACAAGATGTGCGATTTCTTTTGGCCAGAAATAACCAGTTTGAATAAATCAACAACCAGTTTGAGGCAGCTTTCTGCTGGGCTCACTCTTCGCCCTACCACTTGTGACTTGTAACCCCAAAAGAGCCATAACTCTGGATCTGGAATCCGAAATCAGAAAAAGAAATATCTCCCAAAAAAGCGTTGCCTTGACTGCCGCCCCATGAAGAAAACATATTAATCATAAAGCAATTACGCGCAATGGAATTGTTTGTATAAGGAAATAATGTATTTGTACTTGAACATGGGACGCTGGCCAATGGCCAATGGCCAGTGGTCGATGGCATCCCCTCCTCCGGATCGGGAGATCCAGATCATTCGGTTAATTAATTAATGGGCCCCAAGATGACACCAAATGTGACACCCACGGTGCGGTGTGGGCTTTGTAATGCCGCCTCGTTGCAATTTCTCTTCGCGAACCTTGATCTTGCAAGTGATCCAAGTCTGAATCGTTTCCGATCTGATCTCGTTTCAGTTTGCACACACATCGCCGGGCGGAAAGTCGGCTGGAGAAAGTGATCTCCCGGAAATCGCCATCCTTGGATCCCCATCCCATCGTCCTTGCCCGTCATCCAGGATGTTCGCCACCCAGGACACCATTCTAAAGTTGCTGACCCTGTGCGCCCTGGCACATTCTATAACCGCATTGGCCCTGCAGGAGAGGTCTCCGACTCCAGGAGGATCTGCGCCCTTGGATTCCAGCCACAAGTATCTGATCGTGCGGGGGGAGGCGCCCAGTGGATCCCAGGAGCATGTGGAGTTCGATAATGCCGCCACCCTGCTCCTGAGAGCCTTCAAGAACCAACAGATTCCCGCATCCGGGGCTCTGGAGGAGTGCAGTGCGCCTAGTCACAAGGCCACGTTCTCGGGATACGACTACGTGATCCTGCTGGGCATGCTGGTCATCTCGCTGGGCATCGGCATCTTCTATGGATTCTTCCAGAAGGGCGGCAGCTCCTCCAACGAGTTCCTGCTGGGCTCCGAGATGAGCATCTTCCCGGTGACCCTCAGTCTCACGACCAGTTTCATCACGGCCATCGAACTGCTGGGAAATCCCTCCGAGATGTACTTCCAGGGCACCCAGTTTGTGCTCATCGTAATCCCCATGGTGCTGGTCATTCCGGTGGCCGTGAAGATCTTCTATCCCATTTACTTCAAAATGGAGCTCACGAGCTGCTATGAGTACCTGGGCATTCGGTTTGGCAAGGAGATCAGGATTCTGGGTGCAGTGCTCTATGTCATTCAGGTGGGTTCTGGTACTTCACTTGCAAAGGATCCGTTCCTTACATAACTTCCATCTGCAGATGTGCTTCTACACGGCTGTGGCTGTCCTGGCCCCGGCAATTGCTCTGTCCAAGGCCACGGGACTGGACACCAAAATAGCAGTGGTCCTGATCTATGTGGTCTGCGTTTTCTACTCCTCTCAGGGTGGCATGAAGGCTGTGGTCATTGCGGATTCCTTCCAGGTGAGTGCCGCGCTAAGACTACTCTCCCAGTTGAGGTATTCAACAGATGCTAATCCTTGCAGGCTGCTGTCCTGGCTGTATCCTTGGTGCTGATCGTGGGCTTGGGCTGCTTCTACAGTGGCAATCCCATCCAGGTCTTTCAGACTGCATCCGAACACAATCGCTTGGAGTTCTTCAAGTGAGTTAGGTGCAAAGCATCCAAGTACCCTAATAAACTGGTTAATCCTCCAGCATGGATCCCGATCCCACAACACGTCACACCGTCTGGTCGGTGGTCATTGGTGGCTTCTTCTACTGGACCTCGCTGTTCTGCACCAACCAGGCCTCCGTTCAGAAATGCCTGTCCCTGAAGTCCTTGAGGCTGGCCAAGATTGCCCTCGGCTTTGCCATTATTGGTTTGATTGCCGTCTTCCTGCTGAACTTCTACACGGGTCTGATGGTCTTCACCCACTATGCGGACTGCGATCCCCTGACTGCGGGTCGCATTTCAGCCACGGACCAGTTGTTGCCCTACTATGTGATTAATACCTACGAGCACATAAGCTCCGTGGCGGGTATCTTTGTGGCTGGCATCTTCGCAGCCAGTTTGGGGTGAGCTCTTGCACTCCGGAGGAGTTTCAGGCAGTCTTATTCAAATTGTTTTCCTTTTCCAACAGAACTGTGGCCTCTGCCTTGAACTCCCTGTCCGCTGTGACCTGTGAGGATCTGCTGGTCAATGGCATGAACATCAAAATCTCCCCTGAGAAGGGAGCCACCTACGCCAAGTGGATGTCTCTGGGCTTCGGCATCGCCTCCTTCGGCCTGGTCTTCATCGTGGAGCACCTGGGTGGAGTCCTGCAGGCCACGCTGACCCTCAACGGACTGATTGGTGGCGTCACCTTGGGCCTCTTCGTGCTGGGCATCGCCTGCAAACAGGCCAATACCAAGGGTGCCTTCTATGGAGGACTTTTGTCCCTGGCCCTGGTCATTTTCGTGGGCGTGGTGGCTCAAATAGTCAGCGTGGAGCAGCCCGCACTGCCCACGTCCATCGACCAATGCGATTGCCATGTGAACATAACGAACATCATTGGCAGCTTGCTAACCGAACCTGTGGACATCATTGAGGAGGGCGGATTCACGTAAGACCACTGCAAGGTATCTTCTAGATAGATTACTGATTCATAGATTACAGATCCTGGCCCATTTTCCGGCTGAGCTACATGTGGTACAGCATGATCGGCTGTCTACTCACCGTTTTCCTGGGCTGGTTGATTTCCCTGATCATTGACTTCATCCAGCGACGCAATGTGCTGAAGATCACCGGCAAGGGCATCGACAATCCCGCCGTTTCCGAGGAGATCTTCAAGAGCGACTCCCAGGTGCAGTACACCACCACGACGGTGATTGCCGATCCGCGAGAGTCAACAAGTGACGAGGGCCATGTGAACCATGCCATTCGCATGGACGACGAATAGAACTCGAAGCCAAAACTCGAATTCTGGCGGGGATCGACGCTCCCCACCGGCCAATTCCTTGTGTAACCTGTAACCTCCATGTACAAAGACCAGTCGCCATCTGTTAACTGTCCTAGTTTAGTCGAAAGAGTGATTTCTAGTTCTTAAGTCCCAGCCGAGGTTGTTGGCTCAGTATTCTGTAAACACACACTTACTAATGTTACTACGAAATGATTTTACCTTTAGTTCATTTTAAGGCATGTAATAAAACCTATATATTCCTGATCAGCGTTGGTAGCTGAAATGTCAAGTGAAGTGTGGACCAGCATGGGTGTTATAATTTTCAAAGGAGTTTATTTCGTTTGCGGATTTAAATTCGAAAAAATATCATACACATATCATTAAATACAATAATTTGAATGCATCAATAAATTTACAATTAAAACATATATGTACACGGCCCGTTGCACCACCAGCTTCTCCTCCAGTCGCAAATCACGTCACGCTGATCTCCTCGTCACTGTCCGAATTGGAGTCGTCGTAGTCGTCGTAGTAGAGCTTCATGAACTCGGAGCCGCCTGGGTGCTGCTGCTGCACATGTTGCTGCTGCGCATGCTGCTGCTGCTGCTGCTGGTGCTGCTGCTGCTGCTGCTGGTGGTGATGATGCAGTTGCGCAGCCGCGGCGGCGGCGGCCAGTTCCACCTCCCGCATGGCACTGAAGTGCGGCGAGTGATGCAGCTGCTGCTGCAGTTGCTCGAAGCGGCGCTGCTTGGCCTCCTGAATGCTGTTCTCCAGCTTGAACTTCAGATCGGCGGCCACCAGCTGCTTCTGCATCTCGGCATTGATCTTGGCCTGGAACTCGGAGGCAGTGACTGCGGGCGGCGAGGAGGCGGCGGAGGAAACGGTTGTGCCCGGCAGCGGAGTGGGCGTGGCCGCAGCCGATTGATCGCCCATTTTGAGGCTGGTGAGCAGCGGAGGCGGCGAGCTGATCTGGAGGCCATAGCCCACGGAGGGGGAGCTCCTGCTGCTGGCGGATTGCGGCGACTTGGGCGTGACAGCTGCCGTCGGCGGCTCATCCTTGGCCACCGCGCCCGGAGGAGGCGTGGCACTACCATTGGGCGAAAGCAGGGAGGGCGAAAGGGGCGTCAGCGGACGATCGCACTTGGCATCGCTCAAATCCGGATTCGGGTTGTTCTTGTTGGGCAGCGTCTGGTCGCGGGAACCGCCGTTGGCCAGGAGCTCCCGCTCCTTGGAGTTGCGCCACTTCATGCGCCGGTTTTGAAACCAAATTTTCACCTGCAAATGAAGAGGATAAATGGGTTCTGAAAAACACGCTGTAGTTTCATTGAAATGGGTAAATTGCGACTGTCCAGCGGATGGAAAGCTGTCCGGAGCAGCCAACCTGGGATGGCCATAGATCTGGAACTTTTCATGGCCGTCGGGGCGTATGAGGTATGAGTGGAGTGGGTATCAAATTTCGCTTTTGGGAAAACAAACTTCTGTCGGCTATCCGACGAAAACTTTTCTGTGGCAAATTGAATCTCGCACAAACCCACTCATCCGTCCGGATCCGTCCACCACCACCACCCAATTGGGGCGGGTCGTGTGTGTGGGGGCGTGGCCATGGACCGGCCAGAAGTTTGAACTGCACTGCCAGCGCCAGACGACGAGCATATCCATAATAAATGCAAATTAGAGACATTTACCCAAAGCGGCTACAAATTGATTAGAGGCCGCACAGTGGGGCAAGAACAATCGGAAGCCAAGGGCTTCAAATGATTTTAAATGATTTTAAAACCGCAATCCTAATGCACAAAATATCCCTATGGTTTCGAAGACTTGAAGTGCCCATATACATGTGATCTGCATTTAATACTTATTTATGTGTCCATCTCCCACGGTGCAGGCTGCAAAGTTGGTCCAGCAAAAATGCTGTAAGTCCTGCAACTCACTTCCTGGTGTCCCGGGTGGAGGGCTTAGCTCCCTGCAGTTGACAGGCTAGCTGGGACACTTGAAGCAGATTGCAGGACTGGCCGGGCAGCATCCTTGGCCCACCATGCTCCATGAGCTGTTTTTGAGTTATTGTGCAGTCCTGGCTGCCACCCGCCCTGCTCCTTGCGAGTCTGCGACACAGCAGGACATTCGCACTTTGTAGCCAGGCCCAGCAATTTGCAACAATTTATGGGCGACCCACACCCCGGCGGTAATTAGATTGTGACTTGATGTGAAATTTAAAGCAAATTGATGCGTAAAGTGGGTGGGAGCCCGGGCCAACCCCTCAATTAGACTTAAGCTCTGGCATTTATAAATAAGTAAGTAAACAACGGCTGCAAAAAGCCGCTGACATGTTGAACAACCGATTAACCGCAGAGATTCCTTGGAAACACAACACACGGAATCCAAACCCCCAACACCCTACACCCAACTCCCAGTGGCACGTGCCTGATTTTGGGCACTTGGTTCTCGGCTTGCTGTTTCGCTTACTTCCGGTCATCGAGTTTTTCAGCGTCTGTGCGGCGGAAAGCCAGATTTCCCATTTTCCGCCACCCCGCAAGCAATTGAAATAATAAGCTCAGGCGGCGATAAGATTAATGATTATGGGTCCAGCCGAAAGGCAGTCGTATACTGAGGGAGAAATGGAACCTTGGGACCACTTGGGCACCACCGTCGTCATCTCGTCATCGTCTGTTTCTGATGGAAATTAATTATAAAGCGTGCAGTTTAGTGTGCCAAGGAGCGGCGTCTGGACATTTGCGCTCCTCGTTCAGCTGGTGTTCTTCCAGCAGCTTGTGGCTCCTGGTTTGCATTGCTCCAAGACCGGTTCCAGTTGAACCGACCCACCGTGAAAACAACCAGCTTACGGAAATGCCCCGATAGACAATCCGCTTCGGAAATTATGGAATTATGAACTGCACTCGATAGGCCCCCAAATGAGCCGGATTTTGCTGTGTGTTAGTCCGGCTTGTTAACAAATATTGGCCATGTAACGAGTGCCAGTTGCCCCTCACGACAAACCCGCAATTATTGTCTAACACAAAAATGTTCGCTTCATTTTTCGCTATGAGCGGCGATTATAATAATTAAATTTATGCAAATATTTGTGCCTGGCGACAAATGCTGAAATCCAATTGCTGTGAATAGTAATTAGCAGATTCGCATAGATGGCTTGTTTGTTGCGCAACATATGTAGTATATTGTATTAAATATTAATTGTAAAACCAGGGGTAATATTGGCATGCCATCGTTTTAATAGCTATTTGATTTAGTCGTTATCAGTTATCATTTTGTGGGTGCCACAGAAATCAGCAGTTAAATAGAAAGTGCCAGTAAAAAAGGTGCGTTGCATACTTCTAGACAGCTTTATAGGTATTTTCTATACCATTCCAACTCCCTGGAGATGAATTCTTGAGTTCATCTTAATTTTAGCCTGGACTTAACTAATTCACATCCAAATAGAGTTCTTGAGCACCCACCTCATCTCGAAGTCCGGCTAAACGTCTTGCCACTTTGGTAAAGACCCAAGCCCTCAATATAATATAAACGCTCTCCCCCAAGGAAGTTGGGCCCATTCCATTGACAGTAAGCCAAAACGATAAGTAACATATTTTTCTGACACGCTGCCAGCATAACGCGCATAGAATTCGTTTGAAGTTTTTATAAACCACCCAGAGGAGTCGGGCGGAAAGTGGGCTACAAATTGCGCCCCTCTGCCGGACTTTTCTTCCTCCCCTCGAATTTTTTTTTTTTTTTTGCCGAAAATTGACTTTGGGCAATGAGCACAAGCTGTTGTTTTGTGGGGGAGTCTCGAGTCCCAAGTTCCAAATCCCGAATCCTGGCCTCGGCAACATATGTTAACTAATGAGACTGGATGTCGGGGATGGTATAGCATATACATATATGTATATATCCATGCCAGGAGCAGGCTGTCAACCCATTTCGGCACCGAGAATGTCATTCGATATGCTGCGTAATAGCGTATTAAATAGTCTGCTACAATTTGCGAAAGTCATTCCGGCAGCAGTTGGCAGTGCGTTTTGGGTTACTGACCACGGTCCATTGGTCCTCCCCTTTTTTGTGGTTATTGTTTCAGGAGCAGGCCAAGTGCTTGCCAAATACTTTGGCCTGTGGACCACGACCGTTTATTTAGCAATTTGTCAACAATTTATTTTGTAACCAAAGCTGCGAATGATGGTTTTTAATGTTCGCCAATCGCTGGGCGCGGAGGGTTGCAAATTGCCAAATTGAAATGAAATGCGAGCTATGAGCATTAAGTGTTCTTTCATTTGGGAAGTCGACGCTTCAAATAAGATATGCTCATATTGTTTCGATGCTCATCAAATCGGAGTTATTAAGCAATCCTCTTGTTCAACTTTTTATCTCAAATCTCACCCAGTTCTTTTACCATATAAACCGCTAAACGGCCCTTAAGGATTACAAGGTCCATAAAACCGCAGCAAACAGCGTAAAAGACCAACCCACATCGAGTGTTAAATACGCTCGATTCCCATTCGGGGATTATTTATTGTGCAATTTGATTTAAAGCCGCTGGCTTCTGTCGCCACCGCGAAAGAAATCGAAATCGCAAACCAAATAAGGGCAGAAAAACGAAACGAGTGCTGTGGGAATCCCCCGTGAATCCGGAAAAAAACGTACAAAAGACAATCCAGACGAAATGGAAAATAAAAATATTTATAACGTGAAAATGCCAAGAGAGAGCCAAAAGGGTGGGGAAATGGGTGGAAATTCCACAGTTGATTGCCAGGCGCTGGCGGGAATTTCCTTTATTTCCTTTATTCGAGCTGCGCGCTGCCTATTTTTTCGCTCCCCCATTTTTCGACAAATCAAAAACAGACGAATTTGTTTTGGACACGACACTTAAAAAGTTGCTCTGTGCGAAAGAGAGGGCAGCAGGCCAGACACGTGTGTGTGTGCGGGGGTTGAAGTACACACATACATACACACATCTATATGAATATATATTCCCGATCCTTGAGTCCCTGCGTATTGATTTAAAAATGCAAATCGCATTTGGCCTCAAGATGTTTTCATTTCCGCCGCGTGATTTTGGCAGCCGCCTGCGGACAACTTTCAGCTTTCCCCTTTTCCCACCGCCCTTTGTCTTCGAGTGCCATTAATGGCAATTAAATTTATAGCCAGCGGATTATGAGGCTGGTAACTGTCACTTGCAGCTCGCCTTTGAAGGGCGTGACTGACTGAAGGAGTGTGCCGCGCGGGGTTTATTTATAGAAATTATATTGAGCTCATGGATCCTCAGTTATGTGCTGAAT